AGAAGAAAAGGGAAAATACTTCGTGGACAAAAAAACCTCACTGTACTCTCTGCAACTGAAAACCTGCTGAATGTTTTTTATTTATTCATTTATTGTGAAATATATTGGCATGAAAATAAAGTCAATAAATAAAACCAGTACTGCTCTTGCAAGCATTAGAAATGACAAAACTGAATAAAAAATGAAACTTGACAGAAATGTGAAGTTCTTTTTATCTGTCTTGGTTTTGCACCACTGAAATCAGACCTAAGTATTTTTCATGGTTTTACATGTAAAATTATGCACAAATTTGCACAAATGTACAAAGATGCACAGTCCAGATACAAACCCTCTGGTGACTGATGGCTCTTATGTAAACATGCAGTTCTTAACGGATGCATGTCGTATCGTTCTCTGTGTTTGTAGGACACGAAAAAGTAGTTGTAGGATAAATGATTAATTTGCTTCAGACATAACACTTTTCATGCTTCATCTGCAGTGAGGTTGATGGATTTTGCTTTACAATCTGGCTGCATCCTAAATGCTTTTACAAATCTCTGAAATGGGCTTTTCAACAACTAAGTCTTTCCTGGGAGTACCAGAAATACCTCAGTGCTTCTTAGTCAACGCGATAGTCTGAAAAAACTCCAGCGTCAACTTGGTTGGCTTAAGGAAACAGTATTAATTAGCTACACGTGAGTGCAGAAATAGAAAATTCTTAACAATGAAAGCAAATATCTCTTGTTTAATAAATCGTATGTTGAGTGCATGGCCACAAAGGACTTAAGTATATTGACAGGACATACTAATTTAAAACTTAAACGAGTATTTAAAATATCTTTACTAAGAGACAGAGTTGATTGGCCCATGTTGTTTTGTTAGATAATGGCAAAATAGTCAAACTAATTCATTGATACTAAAATGACTAGTCTAGTGAAAACTAGAGAGCCGGAGGGGTATAACGGTGGTTTAAATTGCTAGAGCATTAAATTAATAAGTCTTTGGTGCATTCTAGTAGAATTATTTCTATTATGACACAGGGCTTAGTTGTGTAGGATAAAGAAAGATGATCAAAAAGAATCTTCGGAATATGTTTAGGTTGAAACATGTCTTTTACCTTTGGACGCTATAGTAGTCTGCAGTTGCACTTGTGGAATCTCACATACAAGTGTGTGTGCCATGTGTTTTCTGTTGTATTGAGAATAAATTCTTTTGCCCATGGAAAAATATTTCCTGCTTACTTTAACTGTTAGAAGGGAATTCTTGCTGAATCTGTAATGAAGGGTATTTGTCTCTAATTTCTAGTTTAAGGTAGAGTATTGTCTTCAATTTTGTGATTACATTTGTTTTTATCTACCTGATGCAGAATGTAAGCACGTGGATCACATCTGTCTGGATTCCTGTGTATTGATCTTTTTGCATCATCAGTGAAGTGAACTTTGTTTGACTTTCACCTCTCAAGAACGATATTTGTCCACTTTATGAAACCACCATAAAATTCATCGTTCTCTTCTGGAGAAAACTAGAGGTGGACTAGCCATGAGTTTAGAAAAAGCTGAGTTTAGCGATCAGGGCTGGAACAAGAGCCTTGGTTTATACCTTATTGGCAGAGTTGCACGATGCTTTAGGCTGAGGTGCCTATGGGTGCTGGAGGGTTGTAGAAAGATGACTGAGTGTTGCCTGCTTGTTTGTATAGCTGGTTTTAGCTGTAGCTTTTCACTTTAAAAATCAGATTCTTAGTGCAAACTGATGGCCGATCTAGAGTGAGAGGAGATGCACTTACACATCCTCGCTTGAGAATGTGGCCCAGACTGCTCCATGGAAACAGAAGGAGGAGCAGTAGCAGTGTTAATTTGTGCTTTAAAGTCTTATTCTGTGGGCTTCAAGTGGAAATGTGCCCATTCAGATTTCTCATTTGTTTATCTCTAGATGGTTTGGGGTTTTTCACAGTGGAATTGTGTACACATCCTCCTCCTTTGTTCTGAATGCTAGTGCCCTGTAAAAGACCAAGTCAGGTACCTCTCTGTAAACCTGTCATTGTCAGAATCCACTCAGATGATGTCTTGCCCTTGTTTCCAGCTTTGGCTCTTTAGATGGCAGCCTCTTTAGCGCGAATGTCAGGAATCCCTCTAATGCAGTAGGCCTCCTGTTCTAAATTTACTCTCCTTAGGGTTTGTGGTCCCTCCTCTGTGTCTGCAGCAAGTGTCCCCCTTTTTGACTCGCCTCTCCTACCTCCCTTCGCTTCCCTCTCCAGCCCTTTTGTGCACTTGCCGATTTGACCGAAGTGCTCACTGAGTGTCCAGCAGATCAGCTGCCACAGTGTGCTAGTTTGTTGCTGCTGGGTAAGATTGAATTTGAATGAAATGCTGTAATTTGAATTAGGTTGCAAGGCTGTCCGTGGAACTTTGCAATTTTGGCCTCCCAGGATGCTGATAGGGTCCTCAGACTGAAGCACTCCCAGAACAGCACTGCTTTTCTTTTTAAGTGAACAAATTGTTTCGCATTTGATTATGGAACCTTTATAACATCTCAGCCACCAATGATTAGCAACTATTGTTAGACTTTGTCAAGACTAGTGTTTATTTTTTTTGGTTTTTGTTTCTCTATACCAAAGGACCGGGAGGACAAATATAATTTATTCACTTTGTACTGGCGAAAACTGGGAAACACATTAGTTAACGTAAAAAAGAATTCAGACTGGTGATTTTTCTCCCGCCTGTGGCAGGTGAACAATATTAATGGTAAGTACATGTGTGTGCAGGTTCTGGGGACATGTTCACAAGAGCCAGCCTTAGCACAACCGACTTCTTGAGGACACTCCAGGATACCTCAACTGCGACCTGTGCTCTGCGTTGTCGCTGAAGGACTTTCCATCTCTCTCCCCTCCTCACCCTTCCATATATGCAGAAGCTGAGACAGATACATTTTCTTCATGAAAACTTCTTGGATTTCCCCTTTATTGCAATATGTGCTCCCGAACTCAGGCACTTTTAAAGTATTACACAGGAAAGCCAAGTTAACTGGAAGTCTAAAAGCGATTTTTGAGAGGAAAGAAACTGCTTCTCTGGAAAGCCGTATTAATGGAAAGCCAATCACACGTTTTCTCTAATGCCTCATTATTTAATCTGTGACATGATTACATCCTTCAGAGAGTAGCTGCTATCTTAGAATACGGGCATATTATGCACCAGAAAGTGTAACTTTGAAGGAAGGAGGTGTTTTGTTTGGTGAGGAGAAAACATGATTGTGCTTATTAAATTGCTTTGGCTTAACAATGGCAGGAGGTAGCCTTGTACGCAGCATCTCAGGAACAGTATTTATTAGCATGGCCAATAGGTTTCTTTGTGCTGAAGTGTCACGTGCTGCTCTTTCGCAAAGAATTAATTTACTAGCAAATTTACATTGGTAAATTAGTCAAGTTTTCAACTATAATCTTGAATTTCTTTCCCTTACATGATTTCTTTGCCTGATGGTACTGCACAGTACACTGGGGAAGGCGGCTGCAGAAGAAAACTGCTGCTGCTAAGTACTGGCGTGGATTTTATAATGTGACTCAACTTGCCAGTGTTGAAATGCTGTTCTCTCTCCCATTTTGTCACATCCAAACATACTATGAAAACCATTTGCAGAGTAGCTTCTGTTCAGCATTCTGACTACATAGCTTTGCTGTCAAGCCTCGGGATGTGAGCTGATTGCTTGCAAAGGGCAGGAAAGTAATGTTTAAAGCATTTTAAGCAGTGCTGGGAGGTAGTGAATTATCAGTTGTAGTTTCTTACCCTTTTGCTGAGAAATCAGATGCTGATCACTGCCAGAGGGAGGGTGGAGGGACCCTAGGTGAATACTCTGACCTGGTACTGCAAATCCCGTGCTCCTGCTTTTACATGGAAAGGTATAATTTTCAATGTGGTCCTTCCGTGATTCATAGTTTCTGAATCTTAATACAGGCGGTTCTGGCAATGGCCCTCATGAGACTGCTCATTGTCTCAGCTGTTTGCTTTGCACTTACTATCAGTGCAGCTATTTCGCATTAAACTTGGGTCACAGGAGCTGCTGTGTGAGAGCAAACCATGATTAAAACTGGAGAATTCAGACTAGGTTTCCAACAATAGCAGCGTGGCAGAAGATTTGTGCTTAGTTTGGGACTTCCAAGAGTTGCAGGTGTTGCTTTTTGAGTTAAAGGCCCTTAAATGGAAACTCTTTCTTTCCCGTAACAGAAGACTGGCAGAATACATTACCCATTTCTTCTGCTGTTCCTTATGCTGAGCTGGTGACAAGCCACCAATGAGTCTGATTTGTTGTATCAGAAAGAGGTTGCTTGGTTCCTCACGAGCACTGAACTGGACTTTGCATTTAGGTAGCAGTTTTCAGATGTATGTACTTCTTGTTTCCATGCAATTTCCAAATATGTTGCATGAATACTCTTTGACCTTGAGTCGAACAGATTAAAAGTTACGTTGCATGAAAGATGATGGTTTCTAGGTTTGGAACTGTTATGTAGGTAAATATTTTAATGGTTTTTGACATTATTTCGTTGTTGTCAAAGTGCCCAGCTGAAGTTACTCAACAGAGAAATAGAAAACTAATGATATACAACAGATTATGGACTGACACATAAAGGGGCAGTCTTCCAAGAAAGAGTGGAAGCTTTGGAATTCTTTTCCTTTTATATTTTTGGAGAGTACTAAAACTCAGGTTGTATTTTGGAGCAGGTTTTTTTTTTTCCCCTATTCCAGCTTTAAAGCAATTTACTTACACTTAGAGAAATTTGAATTCAAAGGAGACAAATGTGGTTTGGTGCTGTCACGGTTCTACTTTGTAAAATTGCATGTCAAGAGGTAAATAACATATAGATAGGTTTTACAAGCCTGACTGTTTTTGACTAGGATTATACAAAAGGCTGTAATGGGAGCGATGAGGGCCTAGCTACACCAAGCAGCTGCTTGGGAAATGGAGGTTTTAAAACTTGTGTTTCTTAGTTCATTTAAAAAGTATAAATATCTTGTGTTTTATTTTAACTACAGGTTGCCTTTACTTGGTGGATACGTTATCAGGAGATCCAGAGGTTCTGCAAGCAGATGCTGAAACATACTATGAAAAACTCTTGAAGAAATCATCGTTGATGCCTGATATTTTTTTGATCCCTGGAGGAGAGGAGGTAATCATAGAATCATAGAATGGCCTAGGCTGGAAGGGACCTTAGAGATCATTTAATCCAACCTCCCTGTCATGGGCAGGGACGCCTCTCAATTAGAATAGGCTGACGTTTTCCATACTGGAAGTTAGATACTTGCAAACTAGTGTGTTGGTTGTGCTCATAGTCTGTGAACAGGGGTAAACTGGTGTGACTGGATTAAAAATCTCTTAAAATCAGCAAATTCTGCATTATTGCAAATAGTTTGCATGCTGCAAATGAGAGATAAGCTTGAACTGCAAATCTGAAACCTTCTGAGTGTGGATGAGGGTTTGAATACTCAGCAGAGCATTGCATCTCAACCTGCTTACTTATAGGACTGAATCAAAAGTAAATTTGATAGACATTGATACTGTGGCACACCTCTGTATTCTGCCTCTACTGTGCAGTTTATAAAGGTGGTGTTGTATAGTCTTTTTGTTAACATCCAATACTTACATTGATAATTTTGAATATGAGTTCTCCCAATGGAATTCCAATTAGATATGATTGATACATAGAATACATCCTGTAGGTGCCATTGCTTTAAGGTCCATTCCAGAGCCACCTGTGGGGGCTGCATTAAAAATTCTGACCGGTCAATGTATGAAACCTTCCTTTCTGGGCATTTTCTAGGTCAGAAGGGATGCGCTGGTCTAGCTGTTACTGTACTGTCAAACCAGTAAGTGAATTAGTTGAAATAGTTGTTTGGAATATGGTGGCTTTTCTACAATTTAGGAAAATTATATGCAGTAGTTTCCAGAAAACCGCTGTTTGAGGTGAGTAGCTTCATCTTGGAGCTGTGAATGTGACTAGCTTTAAATACTCTTTCAATGCCCTCTAGTGGACCATGCAGGGTTAAATACAAACCTGAAAAATGCAAAGATGCCCCCAATTTAGAGCTTCTGTGCCTTTATCTCAGGCTTTCATGCCTGCTTGCACTTTGAGAGGCTCACTTGCTCTTCCATTAGAAGGGAAGGTAAGTTAAAAACCCAGGCGGTGCTGTGTGCGTTCCTAGCCACAGCGAGATCAGTTAAAGGTGGAAATCTGGCTTTTGATTCAGAACTGTCTTGATTTTGTGGCTTGTCATCAGACCTTAAATCACATGACTCCTTTGAGTCTCATAGCAACACATTTCTCTTTGCATTTGTTTAATTCAGGTCTAATCTAATCTGCAGTCAGACAGCTAGTCAAGGGCATAAGTAATGGTGATGTTTTTGCTGTATTGTGGGATTTTTTTTTTTTCCTTATACTCTAAAAAATAGTTCAAATGTCAATGTTTTGTAATTATAAATTAATACAGTAAAGCTCCCATCCCCAGTGAACATCTCAGCTAACAATCTCTGTTACATACCTACAACCTGGAGGGTGAGGATTTTGGTGTTTGAATAATGGCTGCAATTGCCAAGCTTTTTCGTCTCAGTACATTGGAATTAAAGCAGGTTTCAAGTGGCAGGATCGGCAACCACGAATAATTATTTAGCAAGTGTTAAGTGGCTGTCAGCCCACTCGCTCGGGTCACCGCACTTCTTTTTGGTATGGCATGGTCTTTGGTCAAGCATGCAGGACACAAATAGCAAGGATTATTGCAAGTCAGGATGAAAGCACATTGGCAGCCTTGATACGCAGAAACCTCTGCGTGGCTCATGCCGATGTTGTTAGCGCTGTGAAAGTGCACGTTACCTTATAAAACAAAATAACAGGCATAGCAGCATTGGAAATAGTAGTGGCCTTTTCATTATAGTAGTGCTCCCGTGTTCCGTAGTGACATCGATGCTGTTTTATCTGAAGCATGCAAAGAACGACTGAATCCCCAGAACACATCTGAGATTTCGGGAAGCTCATGAATACAGATTTCAGGCAGTTTGCAGTTCCTTTTTCCTGGAGTCCAGTGTTTGCACAGATGATCCCAGGATTCTGGCGCTCCTATAGTGAACACTGGTTTCAACTTTAAGTTGTTATCTTGAATAATCCATATTCATCCTACTCCTTCCATGCACCAAGAAATATTAAATGTATCACATGACTGATTTGAGTTTCAGAGCAAACTGACGAACGGGTGCAATTAGAGAGAGAGGCACACCCACACATACACAATGGACCAGATTTTTCAAAGTACAGTACATACTGTGCTAAATTATGCACGCTCTTTGCCTGTACCTAAACTTACATGAGAGCGTTTGCAATATTCATATGGAAATCGTCATCTCTATGCATGCAGAGCTGTTTGAGCACAGTAATTTTCTGTTTGTGTCACGTCATTTAGAAGTTTAGTCTAAGACTGAGAGCTTGAGAGCTGCATTTTGATTTTAGCTTTGCCTCCAACATAACCACTTTGTGCCAATTATCTGCCCTCCCTGTGCCTCGCAGATAAACTGCCCAGGCACTGCCCTAATGCTTTGATACTCCCTGTACCCTGAAGCTTAATTCATTGTTTGCAAAACACCGCAAGTACTCAGCTGGACGATGCTGTAAGAAGTGCAAGTTGTATTTGTTTTTATTTGAAGTGTCTGGTCTTTCATAACACCATTTGTCTGCTTGTAACAATGTTCAAAGCCAGGTTATGTACTAATCATAGTAAGTTGACATTAAGGTCTTCACTAACTTTGGTAGCTTGATTTCTTTTAAATTAATGTTACTCAAATATTAGAATATTATGTAGGTTTCAGTATCTTGAAGTTCAGCATTGAGAGGATATTATACTAAGCTTATACCATGCTTGTTAGTGAAATATATCATAAGTGCATCTAGTGCATGAAATACTTCTTGTGCGCTTTGCAGTACAAACAGCTACAGGGCTTGTTTGTTTTTTAGGTTAAACTTGAAGATTCCTGTGTGTCTTTTGTCCCTCTCTACCGAAATAATCCTGCTTGCAAAATGTTGCTGTTAACTGACCCAAAGGATAAAGAGACAGGTTAGAATCGGTCAAAATATTTTGAAATTTGCGTACTTGTACTTTCTTTACTTTGGAGATGGTCTACTTGTGTATGTGTTTAAATATTTTGGGTTTTGTTTTGAATATGAAGTGGATTCAGTTTACCTGTCGGTGAGCTGCTGGAGAGAAGAGAGAAATGACAATTGAGACTTTTGAATTCTATGCAGAGCTAAGCTGGTGGCTGAAAAAAAATCACCTTGGGTAGATCTGTTATTCTTTCTGAGTTTGTTCAATGGGATAATATTTTTCTCATTCAGGATGATGTGAAATCAGGATGAATTCTGAAATCCTTAAACAAGAGCAAATATATTTGTGAAACTGTGTTGGATAGTACTGATTCTTATTCATATTATTTTACTTCATGATATCCTCTTCAGTCCTAGGTTGCAGAAGTCCTAGATTTTGCCTCCTGTTTCAAGTACTGGTGCGTGAGGGGTAAATTTGGAATGAGACCATTCTCAGGAATTGAGTAAAGTCCATTTTATTTGGCAGTTCTCCCAAGATATTCTTTAAGCTCCACCAGCTTTGCCTTACTTACTGCTGGTAATGCCGGTGTTTTCCTATTGCAGCCGTGTGTCAGCCTGACAGGGACAACTACAAGTGTGTTACAGGTGGTAGAAGTCAGGACGTGCTTACTGGTGTTTCTGTTTCATGAGTCCCTGTTTAGAGTATCAACAGGTATTAAGATTTGATCAATAATTGTATCTAGGTTTTATCGTCCTGCTGTCAGACTCATCGTATCTTCAGACACAGCTTGATTTCTTCTTACTTGCTGGGTGAGGCAAGTGTCTTTGACTACGGAGAGCGAAAAAATGCAAATGTAAAATAAGTAACAGCTCTCGATACCACTGTCATTAACAGGAAACTTGACTCCAAGTTGTGCAGTCCCAAAAGCCAGGTTGTCACCCACCTAGATATAATGAGGAATGTTGTGAAACTGCTGAGTGGTAGGCTCTAGACTTTTTGGAACATCTACAACAAAGACATGAACCTGTGCATTGACCCATTGTGTCACTTAGGGAACACAGAACACACGAAACCTCTTAAACTTTCAGCTTCCAAATGTGGCAGCAAACTAATGACATCTGCCATTAAAAACATACTTTTTTTTTTTTAGTATAAAGGATAAACTATAAATTATGCCTGAAAGGCTTTAATAGATAGTATTCTTGCTAATACAACAAAGGCAAGGCAAAGAAGTTTAGCACTCCATGTTCAGCTCTAAAGTGTGGCAGGCAACAATCTCGCACTCCTAGAACAGGTGCTATTGGTGTAACTAAGCATTCATTGTTCCGTCTAAACCTTGTAACTGGGAAATTTCTTCATAAGAACAAAAACCAGATTAAAATCATCTGTGGTTAGAGGCGAGCTCCGCAGGTCTCCAGCTCCTTTTACATATGATTTCAGTTGGATGTTTGCTGATGGTGATTCATATAGTTGAAGGTAGGAGACCTTTCCAAGTTCCAAGTGTAGTCAAAAAGACTTTCTGGTCCCTCTAAAACTATTAATAAAGAATTACTTTTCTGACATTAATTTATATACTCCATTAACATTTTTTTCTGAAAGAGAGGTAGGCCCTGGTGTGATAAAGAAGCATCTACACCAAAGGCCAGCCGTCCTTGCAGAGTGCAGCTGTGCATACCTACTGACTCACGCTCAAAGGAATGTCGTTGAAAACAGCATTAAGATGGTTTAGGCTGCACGAGAGGAATGGTGATCTGTAAACAGCTACGACGCAAAAAAGAAAGACATTAAATAAACGCAGGGGAAAGCAATGCATTTAGCACAAATCTTCTGTTAAACCATCTAATAGTATTAGGAACAACAAGTATTAATGAGATAAATGTACACAAGGACAAAATAATTTCCCACAGGAACAAGTCAAACAAGTCGGCGTTGGAGCCTAAATTATATGATAGCTATCTACATTAAAAGCTTAAACCTAGCAGAATAAATACCTTATTACATTATAAACAACAGACTGACTGACTGCTGTGACCCTCTTGCAAAACTTTAGCTTGAGTCATCAGTCCCTAGTCACAGAAACAGTCTCACAGACATCAGTAAGTCTGGTTATTTAAGTAAAGCCTACATCATCTGGCTTTTAGTATTTCCTTTTAAAAGTATGTTTTAAAGGATTTTACTGGAGGTTCTTTGTTTCTGGATTTTATATGCAATAAACATATGGCCAGCCTTCCCACACACATCAAATTTGATGGTGTGACTTTTTCCTTTAGTTGAATTTTAATAAATTTTCATTAGTTCTCTGAGGTCTGCAGAGGTGTGTTTATGTGTGTGTGCTACCTGTGCATATGGGTATGCACATTTGAAACATTTTATCCAAATATTCTTCTAACAGTTCAATAGATTTGTTCTCACCAGTGAACTGATCAAATTGTTTCAAAACCGATTCGTTCAGAGAGAAGCAATATTTAACTCAGTTAATAAACATGGGCAGAAACACAAAACACTAAACAGGTTGCATCATCTTTTTTCCTCCCTTGAGCTTTTAACTTTTTCTTGTGAACTCAAATTTCATACAGATGGGAAAGACAAACGATCTTGCTGCAGGTGAGCTCTTCTCTTTCTTATGTGCTGTCCGGTTCATCTGCATTTTATTTCTACTTCACCCCAGGAGTGCTCCTAGAAGCAAATTTCCTGATTGTCCCCACGTGCTGTTCCTCAGTACATATCAAGGAGCAGTCTTGGAGTGTGTGAGCTGGATTCTTTCTGGCTGACATAAAATTAGAGGATGCACTCCAGGAGCACTCTGCTGTGCCTCAGCCTCTAATAGGCTTTTAGTTTTTCAGCACCAGGCTAGAATGCGTGAACATCAGGTTCTCTGCGCCAAATGTTTTGCTCTGTGAATTCAGTTTTGTTAACGTTAGTCTTACTAACGCAAACATGGTCCACTTGTTTTTCCTCTTGCAATTCATTTGGACATTTCTCAAGTCCAGTGGGGGAAGGCAGCCAAGGGTGACCCGGGATACGCTGGGATAGAGGTGCTTTACTGGAGGCATTGGAAACAGTGGAAGATGTGGCTAGTACGCGTGTATGGCACGGTTAGCTGCGTATTTCTCACGTCCTGGTGTGGCTAGCGAAGCAGCAAGAAACATTAGAATCCTCATTGCTTGGTTCTGCCACAGCTCACGTGATGTTCGGCGACGTTGCGGTACTGCTCCTGCGAGCTACACCTTCCTCTGCTCCAGAGGGGGAGCGGGGACTGCGACTCCCTGGCTAGAGCCTCCTCAGTTCAGTTTTCTTCTCTAGCTCTGTCCCTGACAGAGCTTCAGCTTCGCTCTAGCATCTCCACCTTTGCTCCTGGTGGCTCCCCAACATCTCTCACCCCCTAAACTGAATCCGTATAGAACCTTGACAGTTGCTGGAGTTGCCCACACACCTGGGCAGTACCTCAGTCTCAGGGACAAAGCTGGATGCCTTGTGTTCATGTGTGATGGCATTTCCTCTTTCAGCTTCATTTGTGTTTATATCTGTAATGGGTAAGTGTTGCATAGATAGAATGATTTTTATAATACTTACAAAGTTATATCCACTGTAATAATTTTCCCACAGTTCCCAAAGACAATATTGTCAATCTGGTAATTTATTTTTGAAATTCTAATTATTTAGACTTTGGAAAAATACTGAGTTGAGCAGCCTAGCTGTAAGTTTGCATGTAAAGAACTTTAAAGTTTGATAGTATTTAATTCTTGAACATGGGCTAAAGGGGAGTTGATTCCCCCATTTACACTGAGATTTATTTCTCATCATCTTCATTAGATGGGTTGTCCAGAAGTGATGCATAGCTTGTGGTCTGTAAATGACTTGCATATTTCAAAGAGAAAATGGATATGGTAGCTTTTTCATAGGACTTGGTCTTGGTTGGGAGCTTTTATAATTTATTTTTGACGGGCTGAGTGTTCTGTTCTGTTAGTATATCTGTACAGATATTTTTATGAGAATGTAAATTGTGTTGTAAGGGCTTACAGAGCATAGCATGGGTGATTAACATCTTTATAACACTAAATAAACATACCCTATTGCAGCATTCTCTGCATGGTGTATATAATAATTTACAATAACTGTTAGATGCCATGGAACATTTATCACAAGACATTTGCAACAAATCACTCGAATTGTAGGAGAACATGTAATTGATTGCAGGAAAGGTATCTGTCTTAGACACTTGAATGGCTGCCGTTACTGCGGCATCTGCATTCCTCCCAAGCTTTAACATATTTGTTTTGATAAGACTCTAAAGAGAGAGAGAAAAATGCTCTTATTCATTTTAAAAGATGAGGAACTGTGTTCTGCAGCTATTCAGGGTATGTCAGCGCTGCAGAACACAGTTGAATGTGGGATCTCTGAGCCTGCCCCCTTATCAGAGCAGACCTGGGTTCTGTTGTGTGGAACTACTTGTTGGGGTAACTTACCATTCTCCTTCCAAGGTAGAAACCTGGCAAAAGAAGCCTCTGTAAGTGTGCCATCAATCTGAAATACTGCCAAAATTAAGGTAAACATACTTTTATCTAAAGCAAAGAACTGCTATATTCTGTATTTATTAAACAAACTCAGATGACATTTCTCATATACAACATTGCCTTTAGTTTGTGACCGAGGGATGTGTTTCAGCAGTTCAGATGAAGGCTGGGGAAACCTGGGTGTTGCTTCGATTTGTCTGCTTTACTCTCCGTGTAGAGTCCCGATGTGCACATTTCATTCAGACAGGACAAATATAATCCTGACCTGGGCTGGGAAGGGATCCATGTTTGCCCAGCAAAAGGAGACGTTTCATAATTGCAGTTGCATTATGCTTTATGCCTAACTCGGTGTTTTTTGGTGCTGGATTCCAAACACCCGCAGCAGTGTGGAATCCTGCACTTCACAGGCTCTCGGTTCCTTGCAACACTCTGAATATGTTTTGTCTGGCTGCAAGTGATCAAAGTACTGAGGTTTAGCAAGCTGGTGCTTATAGGGCACCCAACAGAGCGTGTTTATACTCCAGTAATGGGGAGCTGCCATTTACTGGACTTTATCCATTTCATGGAGTCTTGCGATTGCAAGATCAAGCACATCAAGTCTTGCAATTGCAAGATCGCTGTAACCGTACACCTGGTGATTCACAGGGTTCAGGTGGTGTGTGTAACTTACTGTTGGCAATAACCTCCTCTCTTAGGATCAGGTGAATGTGACCAAATGTTTTGAAAAGAAAAACAGGTCTGGGAGAGGAGAGTGAAGGAACATGTGGTCTCACAAAACACATTTGCATTTGAAGTAGTGTTCCTCAAACTTGATTATGGAATGAAAACGAGAATATGGGGAAGCATGGATGGATTTAACTGCAGACCAGATGTTGGCTTGAAAAAATATAACAAAAAGCGAAGTACATATGTTTGTGTGAAATCTGGAATCAAGAAAGGCATCCATATAGATAAGGTTGCTCAAGTAATGTGATGTGACAGTTGCTATGTCAACTAGTGTTCCCTTCCACACATTTAAATTATTGAATAGCACAGTAAACGTTCTATAAAAGTAGCTCCTTAGAACATGATTATGTATCTTCCTATTTTCCGCAAAGATTTTTAAAACTTTTCTGAGCTTTACTATGTGTGAGCTATGTGCCAAACCTCTGTGCAGCTCCCGTTGTGTCCCCTTGGTCTGACTCAGCTCCCTTTGTAGCTGCATGTTTCATGGATCTGTAATGGAGCAGTAGCTGCTTGCGTTTGAAAGCAGAGCGGAGGGATTGAGGGAACAGGCTGAATCCATCACAGAAGGATGAAACTCCCATGCAAGTGAGTGCATAATATTTAATGAATTGAGTCTGGTGCTAAAAACAGGCATCTGCCCTTGCGTGCAATACTTTCTTCAGTGTTAACCCGATACACAAAGCTTTTTGGCACATACTTTAATAATTTATTTGAAATAGAAGTTAGCTAAGCGGAATCTCCAGCCTTAAAGCCAGTTGGAGCTGAAGCAAGGAGGGAAACTGACTTGTGTGCATCAGTGACATTTGTATGACCTGAGGCTAAAACAGGTAAATGATGAATCCTGTTAAAGCTGTTTCACTTCCTCATGTTTGAATTTAACTCTAACTCAGAGGTGGTTTTCACCTTTCTTGTGTTTGTCTCTGGTTGAGTAGCTTAGAAAACAGGTAGATGGGGCACTTTCTTAGGGCTCAAGGGGTGTGAACACCATGCTATTCTTTGCACATAGTTCCTCTATTTTATCTTTTTGTCTGTAAATGGGCCTGCTGCCTGCCCTGTTGGGAGCTAGTAAAGCTATTGGTGTTCTTGAGCAATCCTGAAATTGTGGCCATCTACTTTCTTTAGGTGGCTGTCACCACTATATGGATAATAAAAGGTCTTTTTGCTGACATGTTTGCTGCATGGTGTGATGGTGGTCATAAATGATCAAATTTCTGTGTTTATTCTAAAACCCTTAAAATCTGTTCTCTGTCCTTTGAAGTGACCTTCTGTTTAAACCTTTCTTTCTGCATGGGGCTTGGGAGCAATTTCAGGGTCACTGTCTTTCTGTTATACATCTAATGGCAGGCAATGAATTGTGGAGATGAACATGTAGGAGCACGGTTTAATACTTGTTTCTGCATATGCGAAAAAATTCAGGAAGGATGGGAAGAAATGGGATGCAAGTGTTGCATTGCGCCCACACAAGGACTTGACTTTCAGGTGTAGGTTGGTCAGTTAAGTATATCTTACTTCTGTGTGCGTTTGTCTGTCCTTTGTTGGTAAAAACTTCTGTGCCTGCATTTGCACTTCGGTGAGTATCAGTCCATGCAGAGATTTAGGAGGCTGCACTCTACAGATACACAGAAGTTCAATCACATAGGCAGCTGAAAAGCTACTTGATAAAGCAGATACGAGAACTTTTCTGTTGGAGTTGCGTGGGTGAAAATATGAGCATGGGTGCATGTAAACAGGGGAAAATCTGAAAGAAACTTTACAAATGTAACATTTAGCTCGGTAGCTCTCTCTGTCCCAAATGCCACTCAAATTTCCCGTGCTACTGAACAGCTATTACGCAGGACGTGCTTCATTCCTGTGTCACACAGGTTGTCACAGCAAAGTCACATCAACTACTGAGAAGAATTTCCTTGATACCTCTTCTGGTACTGAAAATAGGGTATCGAGGAACATGGAGGGGAAATTGAAATACGGTTTTTTTTCTGCTGTCTCACAGCAGGTCAAACTGGAGTCAGCTGGTGGGAGAAGTAGATCTGAGGCAGCTCGTGGAAAGGTTCGGGACAAACTTTGTTATTTATCTGCAGGTAATGTGTCCCCCCATCTTTTTCTTTCGTAGTTTTGGCAGTTTATTTGAACCAGCGTTGGTGGCCTGTTGAAGATGTAGTGAGGACAGCTGATCCCTCCAGAGATGGGCTCATTTCGGTAAGGATACTATTTTAAATGATTGCCTTTAGCCTGGAACTTCCCGGCTGGAATAATCGTATGTAATTGTCTCTGGACTCCTCTAGCTCGTGCTTTACAACCTGTGGGATCTGGGCTGTGTGGCTCACCAAGGACTTTACATGTCTCCCATTGCACAGTGACGTGCACGTTAACCCTCTCGAAACGATTTTCTGCGTGCAGTTTGTGATCCATCCGTGGGATTTATTTTGTTTTGTTTTTAGCTTACCCTCCCTGCTGACTAAAGGAATAATCAGATCAACCAAAATTACTACATTAGCAATAATTTTTCATGCTAGTGTTGCTTGAGTGTCTGTCTCATGGGAGGTGTTGCTACCCTTTGGAACAGTGTCGTATCTAGCTAGTTATGATGGTTTTTGCATAATGTTTATATTGTGTTCATTTTATGAAATGATTGATATTTATTAGTCTCTAGACCTGTAATTCTTTCTTCAAATAAATTGTCTTAGTAGGATACAAATACTTTTTCATAATTTGAGAGATCTGGGCAGCCTGTAGTTTGTTTTTGAACTAAGAAGTCAGATGCCTACTGCACGTGAGCTTTGTATTGCCGTGAGACTATTAGGTCAGTTCTGTTGCCGACCCAACCCTCTGTGTCCAGCTTTGGGCTGTAATGATTCTGTTCCTTTATCACCTTTCCCTAATATCTGCCATATGTGGTGTTTAATTATTCACTGAATTAAGTAGGGTTTTTGTGGGTAACTGAACCAGAGGGATTTTGAGATACAAATCCTTGCTAGATAGAACTTACAGGAGAAATATAGGCTTTCAGGCTTTGAAGGATCTGCTATATCAACAAAGAATGAAAAAATATCTGAAAATAAAAAACTTGTTGTTTCTAGCTCATTGCTAGGGCGTACGTTGTCATTATTTGTGGAAATTCTCATTTTCAGCATTTGTATAAAGCTTGCTGCTACTGCTTTTTACCTTGATGACCACTATGATCTTGTTCCTTTATATTCCTCTATCTTCCTGTCTTGTTGGTTGTCTAGTAAGAAGCACAGCAGAAAAACTGGTTGTTCATGTTGCAACTAGATTATAAGTTGTTTGGGACAGACTGTATTTATTCTGTTTTGCATAGTGTCTACCTCAGTAAGGCCCTGCCCACTAAATTTCTTTAATGCTGTGACAAGGCCTGCAGTAGGGAAGACGTGACCAGGGTAACACAGTGAATCCTGCCTTTATTTCACTTTTGGGTAGCATTAGATCACCTTGATCTTGTCTCCCAATCTGTGGTTGGTTCCCTGTGACTACAATCAAGATACATCTTTTACTGCTGCTTTAGAATTCCTCTCTGTGACGACAGGAGATCTGTCAGACTTTATAAGTTGTTGCTAAATTATTCTCTGCTCTCTGTATAGAAGGTGGAACACTGGGGAAAAAACCATTTTTGTTACGCTGTCTGAACCAGTTCATGAGGTATTTTCCCCAAATTAAGTGTACGTGTTTCCTGACCTCCTCCTTCCCAGCCCTTTTAATTTTGAAACCTTTTATGAAATGGAGAATACTATTCTCTGCTTCATTTTTCTTCGCTCTGTTTTTGTTTGTTCTCTAAGGTCCAGACGTTTGGAGAAAGGATTGTCCTCTTTGTTCTGAACTGCATTATTTTTGGAATGCTGGAAGGGAGTTCAGCTAACGATGCATTCTTTCTACCTCACTCTGCCACTGAGTGTGCCAAGATACTCTGGAGAAATGGTGAGGCTGTTGGCTTTTACTCGGTCAAGATGAAAGGTAAGGTCATTGTAAAGAAATATTTCCATTGGTTCTTAATAGCTAGAAATGTAATCCTTTTGTCTATCTTTCAGTGTAAATAATCCTGGCTCTCATTTACATTTTTATATCAAATCTCTCTCAGAATGAATCTGGGAAACAAACCTTCCCAGAATTTGGAAGCCATCCATATTACTTTCATTTAAACATGATGGCTCCAAACTCTATTCTCAGTTACACTGAGTGATCTGAGATACTGGCTTCTTCCAATAAAATACGCTTTAATGCAGCCAAGTAGAAGGTCGTACATCTAGGAACAAAGGAAGCAGGCCCTGCCCGCAGAACGGAGGACTGCGTCCTACTGAAAAAAGGAGTACAGTTCACAGCGGAAAACCAGAGAAGTGGAAATATCCTCAGATGCGTAAGGAGCGGTGGCTGGGTTGTGTAGGGGAAGGTGTGTGCACTGGAGCAGTCCTGCAATGCTTTGTCTGGTTGTGGTGCTCCTAGGTTAAAGGATGATGATTAAATGCTTTCATCATTAATTGATTAACTAGCATGGAAAAGAAACCAAGTCTGTTTGATTCTTTAGCACCAGCGTAAGTTTTAATGAAGGTCTTTTGTTAAATAGAGAGTTTGTATTAATGCTACTAGCCAGTCTAGAGTGGAAGAGACTTCCTTAGAATAACTCCAGCTCTGCAGGCCAGTTCTCTGGGTAGGAGCTGGTTACCAGTCTAAGATTCATGGGTGTCATCTTGATACGAGAAGCTTAAATGTAGAGAAGTTGGTAACTGTATTGTTCAGGTCAGCCACCAGTAGCCATCTGTCCAAAAGGGGAGAGTAAGAAACAGCTTGAGAGCTGTACTGCTGTGGATTGCTTTGGACTCCGGAAGACAGTCTGAAGGTGTGTTCTCCAACAGAGTCTCAAAGGCCACCTGCAGGAAGAGACGTTCGGCTCTTCTGCTGCCTTGTGATACGCAAAACCCTTGTTCACATCGAAGTGTACTTTGTACACCGCTGTGCTGGTACAGTGCTACTGTACAATCCGTGATGAATCAAGTCGCAGCCTGTGATAGAGGAATCTTGTACGTATTTGTGAATGTGATGATGAACTGGTTTGTAACTGACAAACACTTCCATTCCCATAGTACATTTTCCTTTAAGTCCATAAATATTTCTGAGCAAAGCTGTTGCAAAGAAACACTTGTATGGGCTGTAATGATTCATGCTTCAGTAAAATAAATTTGCACAGTAGTCTGTTATGGGTGGAGTATTAGCCAAGTTGAAACCATTTCTGAGTAAGTTGAGAGTCACAGTTTGGTTTTAAACCAGGTCCACATAAAATACAAATTTTTCAAGTCCAGCTCTGTCAGCATCTGTCTTTTGTTGCCAGTGGTTTTCTTCTCTGGACAGCTATATTTGTTAGTTTTTGGGCTGTGCCACAAATTACTGCATTTTTTTTTTGCCAAAGCCTTTTCGGGAAGCTTGAAATTGATTGATTTTGCCCCTTTTTGCTATTTGCTGTATGCATTTAGAAAATTATTCTTCTTTCTGAAGTTCCATAATTTCAGTTTCATACCATCCATGCTCTGGCTTATCCCATGCTCTCTACTTTCTAGAAGACACATGGCTTTATTAGGCCCAAATCAGGCTAAGATAAATATCTTCTCCTTCAAGTTGTATTTCACATGATTGGTTTAGATTATTTTTTTTAAAGCTTATTTTTTTTCATAATGTTAGGGTTTTTTTTCCTTTTACTGTCCTTATCAGAACATTTTGTTAAGGCAGCTTTAAGTACAGGACTCTGCATTGTGCCAGATCTCCACTACAGCTTCTTTTCCAAGGAAGAAATTATTTTCCTCTGTGTCCACCATGTGATTCTGATGCCCTTTGTTTCCGTGCTCTGCGATTACCTGACCACTCTTTATAGTTGTGCTTTCTTCACTAGGTAACTGAAACTCTCATGCTGGTGTTGGATTCAACTGTTTTTCTCATCTGAGTTTTCCATTATCTACAGCATGACAAAATACAGACTTCAGTGGAGTCAAATAAGGCAGAACAGATCTGTGGAGCGTGGCTATTTCAAACCTAAGTCAGCTGGGTGAATCCTGGAAACGGTGACCGAGGAGGAGAGAGTCTGGTCTATCTTTGCGATGGATTTAGAGTGCTGTTATGCAAACTCCATTTTCAGTGGACTTCAGCGATTCCAATTAACTGTCTTGGCAATATTGTAAAGTCAGTTTCATTTGCTGATTCCTGGGTAGCCGGTACAAACTGAACTTGGTAATTCCGGTCCAGTTCCACGCATCCATCCATCTTAAGAATGTTCTTCACTGGATCTCATTTGATTGTCTAACTAAAGAGGGACAGAAGGTCTTGAGCGCCCGTCTTGCTCCGAGGCGCAGTAACTGCAAGTCAAGGTGTTGAAACAACTTGGCAACTCCTGACACCGGCCACCCTGCACCTGTTGTGTAGATAAACCAAAGACTCATTCTTCAAGGCTATCACTTTCTGTGAGCATTAGACACCTTTATTAAAGCAAAATTTATTCATGACTACATAGATCATCAACCCAGCGTCTCTGCTATGTGCCTATTCCCGTCCAACGACAGGCACGCAGCATTTACCTCTGGGTGTACTAAAGATTGATGAGACGTACTAAGCCACTAATGAGGCTGATAAGACACTGTGTCACGTGCCAAGATAAATGTCTCCAATTTTATCTATGTCAGCGGCTCCCATATTAGACAGCTGAGGAGTTAGACCTCACTGAATGTAGCTACTTAAAGGGACGATAGGAAATGACAGTTCCCTATTCCCGTACCTTTCTTTGCAGGCAGAAACCTGAAAAAGTCATATTTTGCAGAAAGCCTCCATATAGATACTCTGGTTTCAAGATCTGCTTTATGTTCTTTTAAGTATTTCTTTCAGACTTTGCTCTTGGCGTGCTCTAAATCCATGTGAAAACCTCAAAAAGAATGTGTTTTGTGTAGGGATGTAGGATTAATGATCACATTACTGACACTGTTTTTTGTGCAATGACACCGGGTAATTCCCTGAAAGTTTTTCTTTTTTATTTACTGAGGACCAGAAATTACTGAAAAAGGACTTTTACCACCTTCACATAAATGTCAGGAGAATGTAGAAGATTCACAATACAAATAAATCAGTAGGGAAGTTGGAGGATGCTCTGAGCCAGGAGTGTCGAAGTCCCTTTAAGAATAAAACAGAACAAACACTCTTTTTTATATACAGCTTTCCCCCCTCCTCCCCCCCACTGTTACATATTACTGTCTGTATAACAGATAGGAGCTGCCAGTTGTGGACCAAGTTGGGAGCAGTACAAAAAGCAAAGAAGTCAGATTGCCAAAGCTTGTCCCTTCCCAAGGTCGCTGTGTCGCGTTTGTCAAATCTCGGCAGCAAAAGTGTAGAGGAAGATCGTGTTCTCTGTGATGCGAGTCAAAGTAGCCTTAACAAAATTGGGTCCTCTGAGAGGGCTGTAAAACATGCAGTTAAAACAGGAGTAAATGCATTGTTAGCTTCTCGTTCATTTTTTAGAGATGCTCCACAAATTGCAGTTTGGGAACAGCTGAATGCAAAAATCTCGAAGCTGATATCAAGTAGGCAGCAAAGCAGCCCTGGCCCAGTCTCTGTGTTTTTGCCTTAGAGCTGGTCCTTGGAAGTTGCAATCCAAGCTAAAATCCATTTCACACCTTTCTTTCTTCATACAAACCTTCATACATTTCTGTTTAATACTTTGGTGGCCCGGGTGGTATTCTCTAGAAACAGGTTTTTATTTTTCACTGATTACATATATTTCTTTTTCAAAAAAAACCAACTCTAAATCGGAATTTAAGTTAACCTGACAGACAATTAGCTGAAATCTTGCTGGATAATTGCTTTTTGTCTCTCTCTGTTTTCTAGCAATAATATTTTTAATGTGCATTTCTGAGGCAGACTGAAGGTTCTGGCTGTAATAAAAATTAAATGACTACATACCAGTCAAGACATGAATTAATTTAATTTTATTGAAGCCAGAACCTTTGTTCCCCTTCTCATATACAAACTCACACAATGGGTTGACCTTGGGTTCTATTCAGCAGAAATATTCCCCACCCTTTACACAAGCACTCAGCCTGCTTCAGGCCTGTCCAAACATGTGTGTGCCAAGCC